TGCAAATTGCAGGTTGTGAGAGATTTTTGAGATGCTTTTGCTTCATATTTTTTAATTATTGTCTAAATAATTTTAATGTACAAAATGAAAAGAACATTGCTGGAACATTGCTGGCGATGGAAAGAACAGAAGCAGTGATCAATGGGTAAAAAAGCAATTTTCAATGGGTTTCCATTTGCTTGGTTAGGTTAGAAAATTATATAGTTTGGGTGTTTGAGTGTTTGAATGATGAAAAAATGGTTTAATCAGTGTTTTGCAATAGATGTTTGGTCGTGGAATAGATGTTTGGTTGGTGAGAAAATTGTAATGTTTATGAAGAAAATTTGCAGAGAAAATTTGATGAGGAAATTTGTGATTTAATTAAAAATTTGTGATTTAATTAGAAATTAAATAAAAAAAAATTTTAAGTGGACACGTTTTTAATTTATTTTTGCCACGTCAGCAAAAAAATTATAAAAAATACCACGTAAGCGAGTTAACGGTTCAAATTAACAGAATGACTAACGGAGTGCATTTCGTGAAGTTGAGGAATCAAAAAAGTGCAAAAAAATTGTTAAAGGATTAAAGATGTTCATTTCTTAAAGTTAAGGGATCAAATTAAGCATTTAACCTTAAAAAAATGTTTCAATTTAGTTTATCCTTTTTAAGTTTCCCTATTAAAACTTAAACATAAAGATACTAAATAAGTTGAATTAAAATCTCAATCTTAAAGTATGCAACCGTGTTTAAACAGATGATTGTGAGATGCGTGTATGCCTTCCTCACTCCTAACCGAACTCCTAAATCCCGATCTCTGCGCAAACCCATTTTAGGTGAATTGTCCCACCTTATAATTTGGACGAGTGGTGACTCCTCTTTTCTTTTATATTTTTCACACTTAATAATGATAAATCCTGATTTTCAATTTATTTTGAAAAAAAATCTTAAGTGGTTGTCAACAATGGCAAACCAATAGTTTTATTGATATGCAGCAGACAAAAAATTTTAGAAATATGGCAAATAATAAATAGTGAAATGCATTCCCCAAATAGGAAAAAGTAAAATAATCAAGGGTGATACACATGCATTTTTTAGATGTAACAAAAGAAAACATGAGTTAAACAAATCAACATTACACTGAAGTTAAAATAGCAGCACATAACATAAATCCAAAAAACATCAAAACCAACTTTACGATAGAAGCTGGGTAAAAAATCAATAAAATGCAATAAATCAAAGTAAATTAAGGGGGAGGAAAAAGAGCGAAACTTACCTGGATGAGATCGAACTCGATTTGGGCTTGATCGACCTTGACAAAGTTGGCGTCTCAGGCCTTGAGCGTCCACGGAAGTGATGAAAGCATGAAAATGTATATTTAAAGTGTGCTTAACCATTGACATTTGTGAAATTATGGGTTTAAGAGTTTTATTTTTCTACAGGTAATTTCATAAGTGTTCATTTTATTCATGTTGTGCAAATTTTATGGTGATTGAAGGTTGATGTTAAATGGAGAAGAATTAGAAAAAGGACTTAAATGCAAGGAGCAAATTGCAAAGATCAGAAATATGATGATCAACTTGCGCGGAATCCAGGAGTCAGGGACCAAGACTGTTATTCTGCCATTAACCAAAGTTGCACAAAAGGCCAAAAACCCGACACGGAGGATGCAGTTGACGCTCCACTCAAAGTGCCGGCACCTTGTAAAGAGTGTCGACCCCTTGCGCGATAATTCAGCCAAATCATTGTGATGTGGGTCCCACAACCATTCTAATTAGGGTTTTTAGGATTCTATAAATACCCATCCAAGTTATTTCAGAAGGAGTTCCAAGTCTGGAGAGGCGACTACCATACTTTTATTTTTTTCTTCAAGGCTAAAGAATTATGTCAAAGGGCAACTAAATTTTCAATAAGACTAGAGAGGATCTTGATTGAAGAGTTTGACTTGTTATTTTATTTTGATTCCTTCATAGATTTTATTGTTTAATTTTATTTTTGAGAGATTATTAATTATTTTTCATATTTGAAAACCCTGAAATTATATTTATCAAATTTCATATAAGATTAGTCATGCTCTTTTTATGTGTGATTTGTTAGAATATAATTGATTGGTAGATTTGTTTTGCGAGTTGATCCTTTACTGCAGTATTGTCGATTAGATATATTGTCACTCTCGGATAGCTCTTAATGATAGATCAGTTTGTTCTTCATTGAAATTAATTTTTCTCAAAATAAATACATCAGTCATTATTATTAATTTTCAAAGTTGAATCTTCCGATTGTTTGTTTGGGATGTGAAACATGCAATCGAGTAATAAATAGGAATCAAAGTTTATAACAGTTAAACAAATCAATTAAGTGAACCCTGAAGTCTTGCTCATCATAATATTGTTTTCAATCTTTTACAATTATCATCTTTTATTTAAATATTTTTACTCTTAATTTTAGAATTCATCTTTTAATTTAATTTCTCATTGTGACAACTCTTTTTGTTGATTCAATATAGCTTCCCTGTGGATTCGACACCTAAAGCTACGTTATAACAACCGCTTAGCC